AGAGACGTTATCAATGCATGTGTGTCTTCTCTCAGCAAGAGAGATCTAGATCTCTCTATTAGAGTTGGAATACGCTTTTCCACACTTCGTGTATTCTGAGCGGAGGCAATGGCGAGAGTAATGCCGTAATGTTGTCGCGAAGCAAAAGCATGTATAGCCCCCCATATCGCGCGAGAGAGCTTTAAACACTTGCTTGACCCCGGTGTAATAGAATGGAGAGAGTGAAAGGTGGAATCGAGGGTGTACATTATAGCCATGCATTAGCGTGCGACGCATCATCTGTGTATAGTCAAGAAATAGTTGCTTCACCGTGTGGCGAGCCGTTCCTATATAAGAGACATAGTAATATGTCATACGTCGTAAAAGCAACACAGTACAAGTGGATCTATAGATTGCACTAACCACACACGCAGCAATATATATCTATTACAAAACCACATATAGCAAGCCGCGTAGGCAACGCGAGTCTGGAGAATCATATCGGTCACGGCATACACATGGACAGCTCACTTTTATTCGCGCAGGGCGACGATGTGAAAGAAGGACAGATAGTAAGATGGTGTTTCAGCTGGGTATAATGAATTTGGTGTACCAATCCAGCCATTCCGTGACCGGAAATCGCGAAAATTTTGGGAAGTTATGCATTTTATTAATAAACCCCTAGATGTTAGCGCGGCAAAATCACTGCCTATCCACTCGCTGAACTGCACAATGAGTTCATCCTCTGCCTGTAACATAGATGAGCGACTAATCACGCTCTTATCTTCCGCGATTAACACACCTATATACCCACAAGACTGTAAAATTTTCAATGCATTTTGCCCGTCCTTGGTTGTAAGCAATCTTGTGTTTATATTTTTGTATCTTAATATTTCTCTGAAAACTGATGTACCAACACTAAATAGGAATTCAAAAAATGTATTGTTACACTATTAACATTTCAAAAATCACGATAATTTACTGATCTGTGGTTTTACTTCCCACTTGTTGTAACAACACTTTTTCTCTTTATAATAAAGCCATTCATCTGTTAAGTTCATTAATCAAGCTGGTGTGTTGAATCTCCTTCAATCAGCTTTCTCTAAGCCCGAGCTGCTTTTGTCAAATGACTCAGCTGGCTGTAAAAAAGCCACAAATCATTAAATTTTACTTAGTATAAGCTATAAATTGCCATTTTTACCACTATTCTGAAGTGAATTACCATTCCAAAATAGTTGAAGATCAATCAAGAGCACAGACGTATCATGAAATCCTCATAGCTAACATAAGGGAAGCGAGATGAATAAATATGCATGAAAAAAGCACATAGGCGATGAACTATATCCAGCAATATACCTAGGCACATTCTCGTAACACAGTCACACATCGTCTCTGAGAAAGCTCTAGTGCGGGTGACACATATATGCGGGCATGCTATATGAATAGTACAGAGCTTATTTGAGGTATATTTGATTGTATGAATCAGATACACGCGCAGGGCGATTGATACCGGTTAGAGTGATTGAAGCGCAGTATCGACGACGCTCCGACCATCTCTAGTACAAAAGGAATATGGGAGAAGATCCGCGAGAGCACATATGAAGAAAACACGATGTAAGGCTCCTATTGTATATGGAACAGTGTGAGGTCTGTGCGCGAGTATTAAGAAGCGCACCGTGACTGGACTGTTATATATTAAGTACCAGAATCAGCTATCGCGAGAAAGCAACAGAGAGATAAGTCAGTGCGCAAGTGAGTTGGAGAGAGACGTATAATAGAAGTACAAATCATGACCGTATGCAGCTAGAGAGTATTACACACTGAGATACCGCGTCCAATACAGAGACGAGAATGGAAAGAGAGAGGTAACGGGAGAGATAAGTCAGCAGGAGAGTAGACCAAGCGCACAACACTGTAGAGATCTCAGATAGGATATTCTCGCTAATCAAATCATGTATTATAGTAACTATTCATCTCCCCAGAGGTGATATCAGAAGCAGCGGCACTGCTGCAGAGAGTCGAGACAGAAGGTAGAGATATCCAATTAAAAATGAATCGGCACAGTGCTGTAACATTAGAGAATAGGGACTATGCTGTATCTAAACTCTATAGAGGAAACATATCTGTATATAATACATAGTAATGTAAATGATAGAGAAAAGGACATCTGAGAGTAATAGAGATCTAGGGCGAGGCTGGATCACACATGCATCTCATATAGAATATGCTCTTGGGAGAGAAAGTCTCCACTAGCTCAGTATATGAAGAGCACTAAGCGCGCGCTGAGTAAAATAGAACCTGGACAAGATCATAAATAAGTTCGACTCTCTATATTGTATACTAAAAGAGCATCACAGATTGCCACAGTAGTCGCGCAGTATATATTCGATTATGGTATGTCAGGTCTAGCAACATGAGTGGATGAAGCAGATCGGACATAAGCGACATCGTGATAAAAATTAAGAAAGTTCTACAGAGGACACGTGGCCGACTCTGAGGCATCACTGGACCGTCTGTGTCTATCTATAGTAAATACGGAGAAAGGAAGTATAAGATATGGATTCACCTCCGATATGAAAGAGATGAGAGGACTCTAGAGGCAATGGTGTGCGAATTCTGAGAACATTACACACGAACCACAATATTCTACACGGAGGTGCGAACGATCCCAGGTCTCGAGATGAGTATCTCGTAACGACGCAAAGAGAAGAAGAACCAGCAACTGAAAATTGAGATGTAGTTTGATGTTAATACTACTCAAAACAATACAAAGGGAAACTTTTTGCTATTGCTGGAAGTCCGTCGGTGGAAAACCGAGATTTTCTAGCCTATAAATTCCCACCGGAAATTTTGGTTCTTTAATGCATGAAATAAAATAGAACAAACTATTCATATATCCGATTGATTTGTTTTATTACTTACTAACACTTTTACGAATACTTTAATCATTTGTCTATTATCTGGCTGTGTAATGTCTGAATGTCCTTATTTATGGATTGTAACATTGGCATTCTCAGAGACCAAAAAGAAGGACATTTTGTCAGCGAAAGAAAATTCTCCCTTGTCAATGGCAACAGTATTCTGCTACACATCAATTGTCAGTCCCTTTCTTCTTTCCCAAACATGAACTCTCTCCCTCCTCTCAATTTTTCTCAATAAACAAGTATCAAACAGTTCTGAGAATCGTCAAAATTTAAAAATTTCTTTCAGTCACTGACTCAACCATGCAGCGGGTCCTCGCTACCATCACTAAACTTCATTCTTATTTGGCCCAGGTTCGCCAACATTACCCTGTGTAAACAATAACCCGACCTGAGCCGCTTTACATAAATAGCGAAGCGTATGGTCTCATGTAAGATATCTATGGTATCTTATGAACCGGGCAATAGCGTGGAAGAGGGGGAGTGAATAAGCTAGGCTTAGGAGGGAGGTCACCTGCCGAAGCCACATAGAGCGCAGCATCGTATCTCAGGCGCATGCGCTTGTATAGCATAAGGAGCATAATCTGACCAAGATGGATTTCGATGGCAGAGAAGCACTGGTTAGCGACTTGTGCAATATCATCACCCGATAGGGACTATGCTATTGTCGTAGCACACGATTGGCTAGAGTGAGAACAACACACAAGCCACAAATGTCTAGGTGAGAGGATTTCACATCACGGAGTCTGTTCAGTATGAATAGCTCGGAGTATACTAAGATCAGAGCACCACGAGAGAGCTGAGAGCGCGGAGTATTGGTTTGTCATCTGAATAGAGCATAAAGGCGGCCTCTATATGGCTATTACCCTAAAAAAGAGAAAAGTGGGCGTCGTCATAGATCCTAGACTTGGCTAAAGCTATTTCGTGCCTAAAGCCAGCCAGTTGAATTCGTTTGTCTCTTCTGGACTTCTGCGAAGGAGGATCGCCTCGACAATGTGTAAATGTTTATAAGTCTATAATAAATTTTTGAGCCAGATTGAGCGAAGACAAAGATAATAGATTTAATTATTTCGTTTACAAGGTTAACAACATAAGCCGCATCAATAACCAAACGATAAACAACAAATTGTGCAATCGTGTGGTAACTAAAAGAAAGCTTTGCGAACTGATGGGGCCTATCGACTTTTGAATGATTGACAAAGTAAATGCCTTGATGTTCCATTTGGAATATTCAGCAAAGGATTTTCCCAAAATAAAGTTTAATCTTGGAAAAAGCAAATGTTGTTCAAATAGAAAGCTGTTTAGTTTGTGTACAAAGAAAGAACTTCAACTGTAATCAACCGCCTACATGGCCTTAGCCATGGCGCTGCACTTAGACCAGAGCTAGAGTTATCCGCGGAGAAGATATTAGAAATGTAGCAAGACAGATTTAAGCTTGAGAAAAGCAGATAATGAATAATGCTACCATTACCATCTTGTTTGTCCGGCAGCCTTCTCTGTTTGGTGAGGTTGGTAGGCCTTATGCGTCTCGTGTACAAAAGTTCAACTCAAAGCTCCTATGGAAATCACCTTTCGGAAATTAAAAAACGTGAGAAAAGCGTTTCAGAACCATAAGCAAACGAGACTACGAATTCTTTGCACCACCTTTGCAAGGTAGTTGCCAAGAAACAAAATCGAGGCAGTTGTTTAAATGCTTGTGATCAGAAAGAAAAACAAAATGGCGGCAGCTTGCCTGGTGCTGAGTGGTTTAAATGCGCTGGTCAAATAATCATTAAGAGACGTTGTTTCGGGTTATCGAAGAGCGAACCTGCAAGATGTTCGATGCATTCATAGCCCAGGGAATGCAACTCTTTGACTATGTACCCCTGGAAAAAGGATGGCTTCAAATCCCCAAATGTATGAGACGAGCAAGCTAGACGTCAGGATCATTCAGCAGCATTGGGCTGCCCACTTGTAGGCATAGAAGCGCACCTCCGTAAGCTGACATAACCTCTGTTTTTGAAAAATGGTTGGGGTCGGTGCCGGCACCCCACCGCCATCATCCTCCGGTCCAATCACTCTAGGTAAGAGTTCTCAATATAGTACCCCCGTCTGCTCTCAATAAATGTCTCATTTAATGATAGTTATTTTATCTGCTTTTTTAACAATTGCGGTTCATAAATTACAACGATGAGCTGCAATCCATATCAAGCGTTCCTCAAAGTCGTTGCAGAAGGTTGCTTCATATGCAGATAACGATCTTTCGCGATCGATAAAGGGGCGTCTTAAATTATCTCAAAATCAGACACGGAGTCTGCGGCACACAATTTTTATCCTAGCTTAAAATATGAGGTGTATAAACTTTGTTTCAAAAATTAGAGTTCACACATCTGGGATTAAACATGAAGAAAACATGAAATTGTACGGGAATGTATCAGGAAACTGAGGTTTTGTAAATGATAAGGAAACTGGATTTCGGATACGGTGACTTTATTCACATACAAATAGTCATAAAAATTAGTGGTTTGTAATCACTGCAAATATGGCAGCAATTCGATGAAAATATTGCCTGAAGACAAATGCTTTGCCGTTTGCGGGAGTCGGCTGGGAGATGGGTTGGGGGCGGGGGGTTAGGGGAAAGAGAGGGTACATCTCATGTATCATATGCAGCAAGAATAAGCTAGTAATTTTCTTGAAGCAGCGCCTGCATTAGATCAAACTTAATTACAATGTATGTTTTATTCTAAGAAAAGAGTTATGACATAAAATTTATTGTACTTAGACATCTAAACATTGTGTGAGTTTTGACTCTGTAAATGTCCATACCTAGTCTACTGATTTCCAGCGGATCCAAAGCAGAAACCCATCATAGCATATCTTTGTATGACAAAACGTCAATTAGAAAAAACATGCACATTCCATGGTCTAAATAATCGAGCGCTTCTTGGAACGCGAATTACAAATCAAGTCGGTTAATTGAAGCTAAGGGTTTTCAACCCATCTACGTGGGAATACACAACACGTTCTTAGCAAAATCATGTCTTTGTACAGTCAGAAATGGATGAAATTACCTTCATCGAATGAATTGCTCATGCTGCAATTGCAACTTAAACTGTCCTGCACAGGCAAATATCGTATTTAATACCATGCACTTGTCTAGATCCAAATAAAACCGTCAACTGTCCCGTCCCCATATATCGACCCATTCTTCAAGTGTTCCCTGCAAATTTAAGAAAGCCACCTCAATATCACTAATTAAAGAGCACTTTGACCATTATTTAAAAACAGAGCAGTGTCAAAAAATCAATTTAACTGAATGTAAAATTGTCCCTTATATTATACGTTCTTTTCTTGGAACTTCGTATGTTGGTCCACGTGAATAGCGTTTTGTAATTTAATTAACACGCTCACGCAAGCAAAAAAACAATTTTTCATTTTCATTTCAAGTTCTTTAGGAAGGGCGTACCTCATTTAGAGAAAAAATAAATTCACAGGTGGACCATGTAATAAATACAATATAAACCAAAGTTACTATAATATGATACAATAAGATTAATAAAAAGAAACAAAATTAAGTGAGTTAATGTAAAAAGCATCGCAATTTCCGCACCGCAACTGAATTTCTTCAGCCCTTGTTGGAATTTCTCAATTGTAGATGCTCCCTTTATTTTATCGCTCAATCCATCCCGGAGACATGCCTCTCTGAATGGAAAATATCTCTGACAAGCTGATGCCATTAACAATTTTCTGAACTTTTTTACACTTTTAGAGTGGATAGTATAACAAGATGACTAGGTATAAATATTTGGAAAAGTCACATTTTGTTCATAACACCTTGGCATCTAAAGTGTCAGTTGGCAAAATTCATTTTCTTAGCGTATGTTGATAAAACTCGAATGGAAACAACTTTGATGCAGGAAATAGGGACTATTGAGATACGACAATAGCGATGAGTTCACTTAATTTGAGTTAGACAATGAAATGGCCTTTCTGAAACTGAAACCTATTACATATTACAAAAACATGTGACATTCCATAATTAATGCAGAGATATCAAATATGTATGATAATGTATTCAAAGCAAATATCTAAACACCTTCGGTCAATCTCCATTCAAAAAAGCATGAAGCACAATAAAATTAGAACCAACTGGCCTGGACATTGCTTTTTTTAAACAAAACAGGTGACTGGCAGAGTTCAATCTGCTATTAACCTCATATAGTTCGAGCACCGTACTCACATTTTATGGCCGACACGAAAAGGTGTACAGCGTTAGAAAGGTCTTTTCATAAACGCTTATTATAAGAGGGCAATTGAAATCAGGACCTCAAACTATTAAGGGCAACATTTTACTGGGTGCTTACGTAAAAAGTAGCCAAACGCCTCAGGAGATATAACTTCTTGATACTTAAGCAATTGATAGTCATTATCTCTTTTCACCGCTACCAGAATCCATTCATATTCAAAATGAATGACCCAGAAACGTTTTAGCGATCAAGTGAGGGCCACTGACGAGGGGGGCAGGAGCCATGCCCCATTATTTTCTTGCAAAGGAAAAAAACTTATCTATTTACTACTTCCTAATTTGTTCATGCCCACTTTCCAACTTGCGTTGGAGCCCCTGCTATTAGAATATATCGACCGTCTGAGAGCTTCACAAGGACAAATAGCGAAGTGGTGCAATTTGTTTGCAGAAGAAGTGTCGGATCAGCATAATGGTCGGTGAACGGGTAATGGGTTATTTCTGATGTTATAGAGAGAGGCAAGAGTTGAATTGAACAGTTGGCAGGTCAATGCAATTTGTGGCAAATGATGTTTGTCGTTGTGACTTGGAAGATTGTTATGTTTCTGGTTAAAATGAAGATTACTGTGAACCAATTTGTTGATGTCGTATGAAAGGAGCTGTGCTCGATATAGTTGGAGCTGTGCACAGACACTTCTCTGTTGCATGATGGTCTCATTGAGCATGAATAGCAACTTAGAAGAGCAACTCGGAGTACCAACTTTGAACCACTCTGTTCCAAACACCAGCATCGTAACTATGGTTTCACATAGGGAGGAAGACTCAAACTTCATGAAGCATTGCCATAGCGAGAGTTCTATCTATTGCATTCATCAGTTGGTGCTGTCGTCCTAAAACAACATGTGAAGACACAATCCAGGTTTACTCACCAGATGGACTGGAAGCAACCAGTCTTCCGTAATTACCTTGTTTCTTTTGCCGAGCCCTGGAATTCTGGAACCAAACCTGCGTCACTCTTTTTGATAGGCCGGTGAGCTGCGAAACTCGTTCCAACTCAGCTGCATCCGGGTTCGGATCAATTTCAAAGTTCGCTTGTAAAATTTGCACCTGTTCGTCAGTGAAAGAAGTCCTTACTCGTTTTGATCTTCCTAGACCAAACTTCTCGTTTGCCTTTCTCTTGGCTTTCTCTTCCTCATCTAATCAAAGAATGAAAGTATTACTACCAAGAATATCAACTGTTTCTCGGAACTAGAATTTGCAAATAACTATGGCATTGCTCGAGCATCACGACATTTCGATATAATACTATTGTAATATTTTCCAGAAAGTTTTACTACTCAACGGAAAATATTATTAATAAACATCCAGTAGGAATGCTAATGATGCAAAAACTACAAACAATACTTTGTAGCATATCACTATTACTTAGAGCAAACGCTAAGAGTGTTTTTCTATACTTTTCAATTGTTTTCCAAAAGAAACCATTTCCCTAAATCTGATACGCACGAAGCAATTTTATCGTTGCTCTTGAGGTTAATATTACAGAGATGGGATCGGCCCTAAATTCAAGGCCATTATAGAGCAACATAAGTTCATCCTATTCAATATTTGAAAAGTTTATAAAACTGAGAAATGAAAAAAATACTTAATAGAAGTGCATCATTAGTTCAAACAGAAGCCTTGTAGCTGCTACAAATCCTTGGAAATTTACATCGATTGCTTTTTACAAATCTGCATAGATTACTAGACTGAATTCACTACAATAACTACATTGTCGATCTATACAGAAACATTAATATCAAATATTTCAAAATGAATCACTACGGTTAATAAATACACATGTAGTTTTATTACATTTGAGTTTCTCTCTTGTATTAGATAGTCATTTTAGATAGCTGGAACAGGATTTTATGCAGCTGCCGGCCGAGTACTTCTGGTTTCGACAGAATACAAATACGCAAATCGCCTGGAAATGTATTATTTTATGTATGCTTCTCGTCCTACAAGACTGGAGCTAATTGATATGATACGGCTGGATCAGTCACTTAAATTCCAGTCAAAGTACAGTTATACTGGCTTTACGGGTTAGAAGATAGCCTCGGGTTAAAAAAAAGAAGGTCACAAAAAGATAAGAAGGAAAAGTCCTATGGAAAAGGCCATATTTATAGTTAATGAGAGAAGGAGCTTAAAATAACAGGCATTGCAATCCTATGGTTGAAAACTTCAGTTTGCCTTCGAATTTGTTTAAAACAGTAGAATGGATCAATGTCAGGAAATACACGATTCAATGTTGACCGAGGAGATGAAACTGCACACTTCACGACATAAATAGTTCATATCTCATAAAGCCTTAATAATCCCTTGATACAGGAAATACAAAAGTTTCCTCCCTCAACAAACACAGGCACACTCTTTCTATGTTTTAAGTAATCCGACAAGGATTGCGGAGAGAAGAAAACTTTACACCTAACAAAATAGGATTACATTGCTTGTATGAGGAAAAGAATTTTTAAAAAATCAAGTTGTGTCATCTCTTTGTAAATATTATTCGGAGCCGAAAGTTCGCGATATAATGTTTCCTTTTTTCTGAAATCTTAATTAAACATTTGTGATGAAAGAAGCTTTCCCTTGAAAAAGATCTGAGGTTTCTATGGAATACCATGGTCCTGTCAAAGACAGCCTACAAATATTACTTTATTTGAATTTCAACATTTGTAAAATGTCATGGATTATTCGTGAAACTGTCTATTTTGAAGCAATCTTGTGATCCGCAATGAATTCAAATGCAAGATATTAACCAATATTGAAAGGTGGACAGGTTTTTTAAAACAAAAAGAATTTTGGGAAGTTTCACTTCAAGGTGAATGAAATTCTTAGAAGCAAAAAGCGCCTTGGTTTGCTTTGTTGATCAATGCTAAAAAGTTTCTCAGAAAACTAGGGAGATAGTAACTTTTTCCAATTTACAACAAATGTTCTTACCAACTTACTACTTTTTATTTTAATCTACATACACGTCTTCTTTTTAAGAAACACGTAAATCCAGTTAGGCTCAAAGCTTCTTAACATTCTGTTGATTTGAGCCACAAATGTTTTTTAAATGCTTTTTAAGAA